TAATTCTGGTCAACATCTCTAAGTCAGGCTCCATTCTCATGATGGCATTGCACTCGATCAATTCTCGTCTTGACAAAGCATCCGCTGCAACATTCTCCTGACCTTGTCGATATTCAATATCAAAATCAAACTCCATAAGTTTCACCAACCATCTTTGCTGAAATGTCGTACTTAGTCTTTGGTCCAGGATGTACTTTAGACTCCTATGATCTGTCTTGATGAGAAATTTTTTATTAAGTAAGTAGTGTCTCCACTTTTGAACTGTAAATACTACAGCCAAAAGCTCCTTTTCATAAGTGGATAGCGACTGTTATTGCTTATTTAAATTCTGACTAATATAAGCAATAGGATGCTGATTCTGCATCAAAACAGCTCCTAAGCCTTGGCCCGATGCATCCACTTCAACCACAAACTGTTGCGAAAAGTCAGGCATTGCTAAAACTGGGGCATTAATTAGTTGCTGCTTAAGTTGTTGAAATGCTGCCTTGGCTTGAAGAGTCCAAGAGAATTTATCCTTCTTCAACATTTCTATTAATGGCTTAGCAATAGAACCATACCTATAAACAAACCTTCTATAGTACCCAGCCAAACCCAAAAAACTTCTCAACTGCTTCACGGTCTGAGGAAGAGGCCACTGCTGCACAGCCTCAATCTTTGCAGGGTCTGTAGCAATACCCTCTCTAGAGAAGAAATGACCTAAGTATTCCACTTTATCCACACCAAAGTAACATTTAGATTGCTTGGCAAATAAACTGTTTAATCTCATTGTTTCTAAAATCTGATGAAGATTATTGATATGGGCAGGGAGACTTTTGCTGTATATTAATATATCATAAAAAAAAAAAGAAAAAACTTCCTTAAAAAACCCTGAAAAACTGAGTTCATTAAGCCTTAGAAGGTTACGGGAGCATTTGTAAGTCCAAAGGGCATAACGAGATATTCATAGTGGCCTCTATGAGTCTTGAATGCAGTCTCATGGATGTCAGCTTCATCCATTCTTACTTGGTTATAACCTGATCGGAGATCAATCTTAGAGAAGATAGTTGATCCATGCAATTCATCCATCAAATCTTCCACCAATGGAATTGGAAATCTGTTCTTAACAGTGCCCTTTTTTAACTCCTGATAATCCACACAAAGTCTCCAAGTTCCATCCTTCTTTCCCACCAAAACAATCGGGCTTGCATAAGGACTGTTGCTATGTTGAATCACTCCAGTTTTAAGGTATTCCTGCAGTAGGCCATCAATAATATCCTTTTGTTGTTTCGCATATCTGTATGGCCTCTTATTGACAGCATTGACTCCTTATGTTAAAGGAATTTTGTGATCATCGCCAGGTTTGCTAGGGGGTAACGCTGTAGGTAATTCAAAAACATCCTTGTAATCATTAAGCAGTTTCTGAATGTCAGGGTGCAAGGATGATTGGGTGGCGTGAGTTGTCAAGGAATGCAGCAAGGAATCTGTGTTTGGCTCAGCAAGGCTTATCATGGATAAATGCACACCAGAAGACAAGGTCTTATGCATTTGTTGTTTCTTAATTGTTTGTAACCCAACACTTGTAATTCCCCTCAAGATGTGTCTTCTTCCTTGTACATAAAATTCCACTATTAGTTTATTAAAATTCCAGGTTATATCTCCCAATGTCACCAACCATTCAATTCCCAATACCAGATCACAACAGCTCAAAGGTAAGATCATCATATCAGAAACAAAAGTTGTGTTCTAGATTGACCATCTGAAATTCTTTACCATCGCGGAGATTTGGACCTTATTTCCATCAGCATCAGTAACAGCTACAGGTTGCATTTCCTCTAATCTACATCCCATCTTCTTAGCCGCTGCCTCATCCAAGAAATTATGTGTGCTTCCACTGTCTATTAGGATGTGCAGGGTTCTTTTATTGTTCTGTCTAGACACCCTCATTGTTCTGAAACTGGCCACTCCAGTCAAAGCATGAACATAAATCAATGGCTCCAACGGATGATCCCCCTCTTCTTCACTGACAGGATCTTCTGAATGCTGTAATACTGCATCTTCATCTACTTCTAACATATGAATTTGGAGTTTCTTGTGTTTCAAACTGTGTTCTGGTGTGAAAAATTCATCACAAAAATAACACAACCCTTTTGATCTTCTGTCTGCCATATATTCCGGTGTCAACTTCCTAGTATTTTGTGTTTTGGGTAAAGGGTTGAGGGAGGGATTATTAGGTTGTTTGGGTGGGTTAGGCAAAAGAGGTTGGTTGGCAGCGAAGGTTGATTTTTGTGGCTTCACAAAAGGTTTGGATGGCACCTGTGTCATAGAGGAAGATTCATACATTTTTGCAAGGGAAAATGCTTTTCTAACTGTGTCTGGTTGGAACATCCTAACCACCATTTGTACCTCTTGTTTCAACCCTCCAAGAAAACAACTCAATTGATGTTCTTGAGACAAGTCCACCCTAGAAACTATCGCATCTAAAGCTTCATGATATTCTAACACCGTCCCTTTGTGCCTTAATTTCATCAGTTCCGCCATAGGGTCTTCACATACCTCACCAAATCTATCTAACAAAATCTGAGTAAACTCTCTCCAAGAAGGTAAATTTCCTATTCCCACCAATTTGACATATGCAGAATACCACTGAAGTGCCTTCCCGTCAAAATGTATGACCCCCAATTTCACCTTATAATCCTCAGGAGTATTGTCAATCAAAAAAAATGTTTCACATTGAATCAACCACTGTTTTATTCCTTCATCACTGAATCTCGGAAAATCTAGACGAGCTAAGCGAGTATTACAAGAGTAGGAGGAAGATTTGTCCCCACGATACTGATTGCCATGATTCTGCGTTGAAGAATTCCTTAAAGAGCGTTGCTGAAACATTTCTTGAAGAGAATTGTTGAGGTTTGCAGCCAAATCCATGAACTTCGCATCCAGTTTGTCATCTTGCGCAAGAAACCGCGCATCCAGTTGTTGAAATCGTGCATCAATGTTTGCGGTGATACGATCTTCCACCTCACGAATTGTTGTATGGTTCCTGGTATTATCCGCCATGTAATCTTGAGGGAAGGACCTGGGTCTTTGATACCACTTGATAAGGCTATTCTCCAACTAACTAACTAGCAACTGCCTTTTCTTCCTGTATCACAGCCAAATACCATAACCTTAACCACACTAATGAATGGCCTCTCTCTTGATGTAATGTCAGATAAGCACTGCATTTTCATGACAAGGGAGTAGCACAAGGATTTCATATGGACATAGTTAGTTATGGAAAGTTGATCAATGAATTATGTAGAGTGGGAGAAACAGCTGCCGTTCAGTTGCTGAGACAGATTGAAGGGCAATCGATTCAGCCTGACGTGTTAATGTGCACTACACTCCTTAATAGCATGTGCGAAGATAAACTTATGGCTTTTGCCTTCTGGGTCAAGTGAAGAAAGCAGTTCATTTGTTCAATGAAACGGTATTGAAAAACATCGACCAGATGCTTATACCTATAACATATTGGTTGATGCATCGTGCAATTCAGTGAGAGAAGCTAAAAATGTGCTGGCTGTGATCATAAAAGATTGTGTGAAAACTGATGTTGTTACTTATAATACTTTAATGGATGGCTACTGTTTAGTTAACGAAGTAAAGAATGCCAAATATGTATTCAACAACATGATTCGTAATGGAGTAACAACTAATGTACGTAGCTACACCATCTTGATTAGTGGAATGCAAGAATTAAAAAGTGGATGAAGCCATGAATCTTTTCAAAGAAATGCATTGCAAGAATGTGGTTCCAAATACAGCAACTTACAATTCTCTTATCGATGGTTTGGGCAAAACAGGAAGAATTTTTTATGTTTGGGAGCTTCTTGATGAGATGGATGACAGGGGTCAAAGTGCTGATATAATTACCTACAATTCTTTAATAGATGCATTATTCAAAAACCATCATGTAGATCGGGCAGTTGCATTATTCAATAAAGTTATAGACAAGGGCATTCATCCAACTGCATACACATACACGATACTTATGGACTTTGCAAGAGTGGAAGACTTAAGGATGTACAAGAGGTTTTTAAGGATCTTTTGGTTAAAGGCTATCATCTTAATATTCATTCATACACTGCTATGATTAGTGGACTTTGTAGGGAGGGCTTGCTTGATGAAGCGTTGGCCTTGAAATAATTATTCGTGCTCAGCATGCAACCAATGTCTTCCATTTTGACATATAATTCGTGTGTCTTACTTGAAATTAGTTTCTATAAAAGAATTTGCATTAATAACTTTTGTTGTCATTGATTTGGTCATATTATGACATATGACAAAGTCATAAGTACTCTCACAGCATATATAGTTCTTTTTCGTTAGCCCAAACTATATTTTGCATTTAAAAAAGAAATAGAGATCTTGAGACTTTATTCTCCGGAAGGTGACGTATTGTAACTTACAAGGTGATAAAATAATTGTTTTTTCTAATCAATACAGCTGTACTTATAATCATTGCAATTGAACCGTAGCCCTATACTTAATAGTTGAATTAACTCTTAATTTTTTATACAAATGCTAGTTTAAAATACAGTGCTATCCGTTAAATTTATAAATTGTATTATATTAATTTTAAGGTTGGTTAAATATTCTAAAAAATTATAGGATAATGTAATCAATCAAATGGTATATTTAATGATAATTTTTTATTAAGTTCTAATCAAAATTAATTGTAACTGCTTTACATAGGTACATGCAAAATTGTATTACCTGCGTTATTTTCACGTCTATAATAATCTCTGTAACCAGTTTTGGCTCATTTCTCTTACTGAAGTTGATATTCTATGTACTGTTTTTTATTTGTTAACTGTAGCTTAATTCTGTATAAATAGTGATGATTCTTTACAATGTCAAAACTTGAAAGCATATTCCACACCATTTATTTTAAATGCATCAGCATTTCTCTTTAAACTCTTGCCTAGTTAAATATTTTAGCAATCCAATATTTGCAAGCAAGCTCAAATAGATGCCGATGAAACACAAATTCATATGCAATCGAATAACCTTTTGAGTAACTCTAATCCAAAGGTGTAGTACTTGGCACTGCATTAATGGAAAGATTGAGAAAGAAAAAATGGGCAGAGAATGCATCTATAGCAAAATATTTGTTACAGCAAAAACCAAAATTGTGACACCACCAAGAAAAAGCCCGATGACTTTCTATTTTTTCATCAATTGGATCGTCTCCATACATGGTCCTCGTAACCGCTGGTTGGTTGCTCTTTAGGGCGTTCAGTATTGCACTTCAGGCAAGCCATATTTCTTGCATAATTGTAGAAATTACATCTACAAAAAGTAATACAAGAAACTTTATGCGAGCGTGGTAGGAAAAAACCTGGGGAGGGCAAAGAAAAGCAATGGACTTACTTGGAACAACTCCAATCCCCAGGAAATGTCTTGGGACTTGGGTTTGGCTCTAGACAACGCAAACACTTCACTTTACTAGCAAAATTCATGAACCCACACCTACATACAAGGGAAATTCACCAAAAAAATAAAATTGTTTCATGCAAGTGCCAACATGTTGATTTATATACACCTTGCATAATAGAAGAAATCAGATATGATGTAACATGGGAAACAGGGATTTTTCATGGTTGAAGGAAACGAAAATGACGTACTTTTGACAATTCCAATCCCCAGGATATTTCTTGGGCCTTGGCTCAGGACATCGCAAACACTTAATGTTACTAGCATAATTCATGAACCCACACCTACATGTAGAGGAACATTCATGAAACCGTATCTAACTGTTAAAAAGCCATTGATTCTAGTCATCCAGTGCTATACTAGAATACTAGAATAGAAGAGTCATAACGGTGATAATGTTGGCAGATGTAGCATAACAAGCACCGCAATAACAGTCCATGGCCAAGCCATGAATTATAACAAAAATAAAGGGAAGAAGAGATTTCTTAAGGGCATGATTTAATCAATTAAATTAATATATGTGGCCACTAAAACACCCCTAAAGACCAAGACACCATCCCCACAGTACACCACATTAGAGGAATAAAATGCGGCAGAATAAATTAGACAGCAGCCACAATAAAGGATATAGCATACAATCATGTATAATATACTAAAATAGTTACATCACGTTCGTGTATTCCAGTGATTGGCTGATTGCCCAATATGATCGATCATATGGACGAGTTAGCTGCAAGAGAACTTTTAAAACTGAAGCTTTCAGGATCGGGAATCACATTATTAACGCAGAGAGACCTAAGACTAGTCATTACTAATTAGTACCAAGTGCAGCCACAAGACATAAAACAGATAACAAGCTGAATGGTACTTAAAAACAAATTTCAGAAACATAGTTTGATATTTATATTTACAAATAAATAAACATGAACTCATTAAAAAAATTCATTACAAATTTCAGAAACATAGTTTGACTGGTAATTATCAATCACTGTCAAATTGCACTTCACAAGTCTTGCAATTTTATCAGGTAGCCCTTTTTTCTTCTTATAACATCTTTAGAAAACTAAAATAAATGAGAAACATGTGAAGCATGAAAAATGAGAAACATTATATGAAAGAGGAATGGTAAGAGAATATAGAGATAGATAAGAAGAACGGTTACCCAGTTATTGTTTTAAAGTTATTAATGTTTAAATTTATCAATAGTAGTCAAAATTAAAATTATTGACATAAATTGATTCATATGCTATTACAGGAAACGGAAACTAAAATATGTCAATGGGAATTTTCTTGTCAGTAAGAAAGAGAACTCACTGTGGGCAAGTCCAATCTCCTTTTTTCCTTTCAACTTCGTTTTTATTGACAGTCTTTGTTGGCCCCTCTCTTTTGCACTTTAGACACCGTGTATTTCTGGAAAAATTTAGAAAATTGCATCTGCAGCAGAACCAGAGAGCAATGGTCAGCAGATTGGTAGACACCAGAAAATGTATAACTGAACACAAGTATTGGATGACAGCATGAATGCAGATAACATAAGAAAAATAGAAGAAAAATTCAGTCATATAAGATTAGTCAGTTTGACATGCATAATTGCATATGGACAAAGTTCATGTAAGAAAGGCACTACATATAATTCCATCATTATTAACTGGCATTATCAGAGTCTTATCGGAAAGGAAAGCTGACAAATACACACAGACATTGACCGTGCCTTATGAGAATAGCTGGTAAGCAACTAGAGGACTTACTCAGGACAGATCCAGTCTCCTTCCTTCATTTCAACAGTAGGCAGACCAATATCCTTGGGCTTATCTTCACTACAATTCAAGCATTGCATATTCCTAGCAAAGTTCATGAAATTGCATCTGCAAGAAATTTGGGGAAAAACTCTTACGAGTGAATTATTGAATAGCCAAGGCAAGATCTAATTTAAGATGTCAAATGACATAGAATATTTCCACAATCGTAGGAATAATTGACAAAGGTAAATCATCAATATTCATGATAACGAAGTGTACTACTGTCAAAAGGGATATAAAACAAATCCACTAATCCACTGGCCAACAATTCTTCTGAATGAATATTACCACTAAAATCTATCACACAGGAAAAAAGATTGTATCACTGACAAAATCGATATAAAACAGAACCACTCATCCAAGGGCCAAAACTACCTCTAAATGAATGCTATAACTAAAAACTATTACACAGAAAATAAATTTTATTATGCAGGAACAAAGAAATAATTCTCACTGCATGTTTTAAGAGTTTTATATCCATAGCATCCAGTTGCTATTATCTTAGTAAAAGTTGCTGCAAATCGATCCATGAAAGATCACTTGCTTGATTTCTGAAGTAAAATGGCTGGTTGATTGATAAAATTTACTTTCGCATCAACAATCATTCAAATTGTATGTGAAAATGCAAAAACTCAAATTCCACATGCAGAGATTACAAAACACATGACAAATATATCTGCATGAGCTAAAATAACTCACTTTGAACACATCCAGTCACCTTTCTTCATCTCAACATCTTTAGACAACTTTTTAGTCATAACACTTATAGGATGGCCTTTTGCCACAGTATCCTGTGCAGTAAGCTTTGAACAAGCAGAGGAGGGTGCAGGAGCAGGTGCAGAGGACAACTCACTCAACTCAATTAGCTGAGAGAGAAGTTTTCTGGCAGATGATTCAATAACTTCTTGGCCTGGTGGTTTGTCTCCACCAGAAAGGACAAGTGGATCTAGTGCATAGAACAAAAGTATCCGTACTAGATCAACAGTTCTAGCATCAGTTTCAAAATCCTTTAGAATCACATAAGCTCTATCACAGGAGCTTCGTAGATTGCAAGCACTACAAACCTGGATGGAAGCAAACTTGCCTTTTCAGACCATAGGGTCTCAAAACGCCCCCTCAAACTGGAGTAAAACTTTAAGAAACTAATAACAAAATAAAATCCCATTTGGCCATATCATAGACTAATAACATCATTGAACAGATTGTTCACAATCACAAGAGTAAATACTAACAATACACTCTTAGACATTTACTTTCACAACACTATTATTGAGTAAAATCCTACACTAAACAACTTCCACTATTATTTATGAGAACAAAATGTGATTTCACCCGATAATAAAAAGTGCATTTAAAAAGATTTCAAAAGTGTGTATTCTTAATATTTCTCTTCTTATTAACTATTACTTGCAAGTTAGGACCAATAAATTTAAAACATAAATGCTTATTAACACACATACATCCCCTTCATCTAAATGCAGGTGGGCGCGCAGCCTTTTAGCTGAATTAACAGTTTTTCGGAAAATATTAGGGCATCCTCCTTCAACAACTGCTTGGATATCGTTCATCGGTAGCAACCTGCATAACATAACAAGCAACTTAAATCAACCCTACATTTTAACATGTAACCTCAAATAGTCAGATATACATTGGAAGGGATCCATTTACTCTAAGAGTAAGTCTCTGCTCAGTAAAATTTCATTAATTAATGGTTGAATCATGTAATATTTACTCTTCATAATCATGCATGTCAAATTTTAGACAAATTAAATATTCATAAATATGTAAACTTATAGGTGACATTTGCTTATATTTTGAAAAGTATATTATACATTAAAATGATATTGTTTGTTGAAATATCAAATAATTTTAAAAATATACAAAATTTTGTAATGTTGATTTTGATAAAAAGTTATTGAGCAGAGTAAGTTAACCAATACTTACTCTGAGAGAAAGTGAATCCCTTCCCTATGTGCGTTATTCATATCTACATATGAGATTCGCTAATATACACCTACTTACTTTTTTAGAAGGAATATTTCTGCAAGTTATAACTATTATTTTTTTAAAATACACCCAGGTGTAATTTGCTAAAATACTCCTAAACAATAGATGCGTATAACAACTACTTGGAGATCTATCTATCTATCTCTCTATATAAGAGGAGAGAGAGAGAGAGAGAAAGGATATATATCTTTATAAACATTGAATTTGTCAATCCAATTGTTAAATTGAAGGTTCTTCTTAAATAAAACAAGTCTTCAAAAAATTAAACAAATCAAAAAGTTCATTAAAAATTCATCAAGCAGCTTAATTTCAACGTTTAAAAAAAAAATATGAGTAAATTTTGATTATAAAATTACATATCTATGAACATTAAATTTATACAGAACTTAATATGCATGATGAACATATATATATATATATATAGTCTTATATAATGGTTGAATTGAGAGAATTTAACATTTATAAAATGATTATTAAACCGATAGTTATTTTGGTGTAACTTCATTCCTGCTTTTAAATATATATATATATATATATATATATATATATATATATCATCATAAATTGTTACACGGTCAAATTGAGTAAGAACAAAAATAACAATCGAAGTAAGTAATCTGGATTAACAATAAAAGAAGAAAATGTTGGAAATGAGGAAACAAACTTGAAGAGGTCGTAACGGTCGCGGCCGAAGCTGAGACAAGCGTCCTTCAAGAGGTTGATGTTGGTGTAAACGCTTAGGGAGTCATCAGAAGAGGGTTTGGCGAGATAACCTTTGGAGTTCAAGCGGTCGACGAAGGAGAGCCATTCGGGCCAGGGGTGATCGACGGAGGATAGGGTTTCGGCGGCGGCGGCGGAGGAGCAGAAGGAGGAAGAGGAAGCGCGGCGCGGTGGCAGGAAGGGAATGGCTTTGAAGAAGACAAAGAGAGGTTTGGCGGTTACGGGTGAAGTTCGAGGGGTGCGGAACAGTGCGTTTCCGATTCCGTACAGTGTAATCTTTGAGGCTAACATTGTTATCAGCGTTGCTTTCCCTCCTCTTTCTTCCAAGTTTCAATTGCTCACTCTGGTGAGGTTTACGTAGGGTTTTGCTTTTCCACCCGAGTGCCCCAGGATCTGCAGTGACATTATCTAAGGATCTCACCCTTTTAGTAGTTGAGTTTTTATTTTATAAAATAAATAATGATTAATGGATTTTCCACGCCAGATTATTCACATCCAGTGCATGATGCTACATAGCAAGTTAACGACGAGAGTAAATAAAAAATTATTTTATAAAATTAAAATAACTAAGATTAATAATTTTAATTTAAAGACTAAAATATAAATTTATTATTATTAATAATAATAATAACAGTAATTTTACAAAGAAATTGTTGCTTCTTTTAGATTTATAAAAATTAATTTATAATTTTTAGTGCATTATTTATTTTAGACTTTTAATTTTAAAAAATTGTGAAGTCCATGTTTATAAATTTTTTTAGCAGAATAGAGTAAGTGAATTTATTTTTTATATCTATTCATTTCATCTAAACTTATTCTTAAATGTTATGTCATTTGCAATTAATGACAAATTAGTGTATTTGACAATTTTGTTTGAATATTTTTTTCAATTCTATATAATTATCCAAATGTAGTTTTTAGACTTTAATTTTAGATAATTTATATATTTTTTTAAGTCTATTTGACTCATTTTATTTAATTAATATTTATATATTATCAAGTAGTAGAGTTGTTTGTTATTGAAAAATATCAGTTTATCTTAAAAGAATTTTCATTATTTTGGTAGCCCTGAAAGCATTTTAAAAACAATTTCATTGGTAGGCTTCTATTATTTTGGTGGCTTGACACTTTTTCTTTGGATATTCTGCATATGTTTAGCAGTTAAGACTTTTTATTTTAAATACGTAATAGACGTAATAGGTATCGTTGTGTTGTCTCGTGGACAAATTAAACTGAACAGAGACGTTCAAAAGAAACATTTCGATATACTTGGATTTCTTTCATCGGTAGCAACCTCCATAACATTACAAATAACTTAAAATAATGTTAGATTTAAACATATAACAGATATATATATATATTGGAAGGGATCCATTTACTAAAAGAGTAAGTCTTATGGTTACTTAGTCTGCACATTAATTTAATATAAATTTAAAATTATATTTATATGAGATCCTAAAGATTATAACTAAAGACGTAACTGAGTCAAGTTATTTGTAAATTACTCAGTTGAGCTCGTTAAATACTCAATTATGCTTATTTATTGAATTTAAAGTTAAGTTTAATCATACAAACGACTTAAGTTTAGACTGCGTAAACATGATATTAATAACTCAGGAATAATTTGCATATACACATGCGCAACATTACTTAAATTTAATTTTTATAAGAATTATTTTAAATAAATGACCATAATTTTCTTTCAAAAAATTGTCTAATTTCCTAAAATTAACTATGCATAAGATTATTAATTATAAAATTAGATAATATGATTGTTTAAAAAAAATGACAAATTTTTTGACCCATTTGAAATGAAGAATACATAAATAAAAAATATATAAATGTTAAATTATAAAATATATTATTATTTAAAATTTAATTAACGATTCAAATTTATATATAAGAATGACAATAGATACAATATTATAGTATCAATTTTTTTATCCACAATTTAAAAAATTAGACATGCTTATTTTCATGTCTAATAATTTTGATCTATATTTCTAATAGAATCAGTATCGATCTAATACTCCAATCATTTTTAATCTCTTTTTTATTATATCATTAATGTGTTTGAAAATAAACTTAATTAAATATTTATTTAATAACTTTTTATACGATTATATTATGCACTTATTTGTAAAAGTTTATAAACGGTTTTAAAAAAATAATTTTTTTTCATAAATTTTTTGATATAATACATTAAAATAATTTTTTTAAAATTTATCTCAATAAACTTAATAATTAAATTTACTACATAAACTATCATTTAAAAAAATGTTAAATAATCAATTAAATAAATTGTATATCTAAACAAACACTATATTTATAAACCATAATTCTCATAAAATAAATAAAAAAGAATAAAGAAAAGCTAAGTTTGACAAGTTATACATTTAACAACTTGTTAAATAAATTTAAAAAATTTATAAAAGTTATAATTTATTTTTATAGAAATTTTATTGATAATACACTGTTTAACATAATATGAATAATTATTTCTTTATCTTGTTTACAGGTCTTTCTAAGTGTATATATCCTAAAATGTTTGGGAACAATGGTACAGTTCGTTGGTAATCTGAGCGCCTAGACCCCATTCTTTCATTTTTGGTTTCGAATTTGGGATAAACCGAACATGTCATTCTCAAGGTTAAGGTATGCCCTCCCGCTCACTGTTCTCAAGTTTCCCCTTTTTCCTCATTGTTACCCTGCAAAGCTTCACGCTCAGTCTTCGCCCTCATCTATTCACAACGTTGATGGCGCTGTTGCCTTGTTCAATCGCATGCTCACTGTGAGTCCTTCTCCGCCCATCATTGATAGCCTAATGTGTATATTACATTATTCACATAGGACGGATTGAAGGACAAATGATTCAGCCTAATGTGGTAATATACAGTGTAATCATTGATAGCCTATGCAAAGATAAATCTGTAAAGGAAGCATGTGATTTTTTTTCAGAAATGGTTGCCAAGCAAATCTATCCCAACGTTGTCACTTATAACACATTGGTTGATGCTCTGTGCAAAAAAGGAAAGGTGAGAGAAGCTAAAAATGTGTTGGCTGTGATGATAAAGGATTGTGTGAAACCTAATGCCACTACTTATACTACTTTAATGGATGGCTACTATTTAGTTAATGAAGTAAAGAATGCGAAATATGTATTCAACAACATGATCCGAAATGGAGTAACCCCCGCTGTACATAGCTACACCGTCTTGATTAGTGGATTATGCAAGAATAAAAAAGTGGATGAAGCCATGAATCTTTTTAAAGAAATGCATTGCAAAAGTGTGGACAGATAAAGCAACTTACAATTCTCTTATTGACTTATTGATGGTTTGTGCAAAACCTGTGTTCAGGAGCTTATTGATGAGATGGATGACAGGGGTCAAAGTGCTGATATAGTTACCTACAGTTCCTTAATAGCGCATTATTCAAAAGCCATCATGTAGATCGGGCAGTTGCATTATTCAATAAAGTTATAGACAAGGGCATTCATCCAAATGCATACACATACACGATAGTTATAGATGGACTTTGCAAAAGTGGAAGACTAAAGGATGCACAAGAGGTTTTTAAGGATCTCTTGGTTAAAGGCTATCATCTTAGTGTTCATTCATATAATGCTATGATCAATGGACTTTGTAGGGAGGGCATGGTTGACGAAGCATTGGCCTTATGGTCAAGAATGGAAGACATTGGTTGCATTTCCGACGCTGTAACTTTTGAAATAATTATCCGTGCTCTCTTTAAAAAGGATGAGCATGATAAGGCAGAGAAACTTCTACTTGACATGGCTGCTAGAGGCTTACTGTACGTAATTGCTTGAGATCTATGACAGACACCCCATTTGCAACCTGTTGCTGTCATGCTGGGATAAAGAGACTCAACTTGGATTTATGTGTTGGCCTCGCTAGCTTAGTACGTTTTTTATTTTTTGATTATCGTAGTATTCTTATTTTTTAGAAAGATGCGTTTACATGGAAGCAGTGGTTGTTCTTTTTACTTATCATCTGCCTTATGCAATATGGGAACTAGTAGCCATTTGATTGAACTGGAACATGCAAAATTGCCAAATAAGATGCTACATATGTGAGAAGTATTATTACTTAATATGATAATTTGATTGTAAATGCTATGCATGTTTTACAAATGAAAATTGGTGCTTACTTGGGACTTTTCATTTTATTATGTATTTAATTGATTACTTTGTCTCCTTTGATTACCAATACTCTGCATTTGAATTTTACAAGTTTGTCTAATTTTATTTTCAGACATAGTAGACAATTTGTCTGCAATGTTTCTTTCGACCTCCATTGTCACGACATTGGGGTATAACCTTCTTTATGTATTATCAGTGTAAGTTTGATTGAGAAAATCAATTGTGCCATGTTAGTTGTGTAAATTTTGCTTATGTATATCTACAACTTTGAACTTCTTCTTATTTTTCCTGTAGGAAAATATATTTTTTTGTGGCATTCATCTTCAATATGTATTATTTGACGTCTATAATCATTAGTCCACTTGCTTACAAGTCCTTCACCAATTGTATGTGTAAATTCACGTTAGGTCCACTGGGTGCTTAAAAATTTCTGTTCGATTATTCCTAAGGTAATGGGTTTACAAATGTTAAGTGCACGATATTATTACTCTTACGTGATGCTAGCAAATGAAATGATATAATGCATTTTTTTTATTATTTAAATGTTGCTCAACGAATTAGTTTCTATAATTATGTGTACTCTCATAGCATATACTGTATTTTGCATTAAAGAAAGAAAGTAAGAAACAGAGATCTTGAGACATGTTAATGCCTGTTTGGTAGAAAACTTTTCTACAAAAAGTGAGGTATTTTAATTTCTAAGATGATAAAACAATAATTTTTTTCTTTAAATCGATACAGCTGTATTGATAAACATTACAGTTAAACCTTAGTCTTATAAGTGAACTGTTTGATCCTTAATAGTTGAATGAACTCTTAGATTATTGTACAAATATTATTTTTAAATACAGTACTATCTGTTAGATGTACAAATTATATTAAATTACTTTTAAAGTCGGTTAAATATTTTTAAAAGTCATAGTATAATAAAATAAACCAAATGGTACATTGAATGATGTCTATATTCATGTAACAAGATTTAGCTAATTTTTCTGAGTCTATGTTATCCTAGGCACCAATTTTCCATTTTAATACTTGTCTTTATATTTATTTCTTTCTTTTGGGAGACTTTCTGCTCCACCGCCAAATTCAAGTCTAAGTGAATTTCTCTGCTTCTTATTTATTAATTGTGGCTTAATTTTGTATAAGTTGTGATGATTCTTATGATGGTAGACCTTCTCTGCCTCATACAATATTTGTAAATTATTTGTGACTGTGTGAAGTTGAAAGCATTGTTCGGTCGTTCCACGCACTTTTTTCTTTATAAATGGAATATTAAAGCACAACATTAGCATTTCTTTCTAGACACTTGCATAGTCAAATATTTGAACAATCCAATCTTTGAAAGGAAGGACAAATAGATGCATTGTTCATCTATGATGTCGATCAACTCCCTTCATCTTATGGTTTTTCAAATTCAAGTAAAAGGCTTCTAATTAGTTTGCTACTACCATTTAGTGTGTGAAATTTGCAAAAGCCATGGAAATTCAATCATGGTTGAAATTAACTATTGATGGTTAGTTGAGAAGGCAATTTAGAGATTCTGTTTGTTTATCTATGAATTTGTTGAGATTCAAAATGTTTAATAGAAAATTTGTTATTGGCAGAATGATGAAATTTGAGTTTTTAGAAGGACAAAACTTATTTGTTGCTTTTTAGGTGTTGTTTATATATTGAAGTTAAAGTTTTATTTTAATAAAAGTTATATTTAATTAGTAAATAATACTGAGAACACTTAATGAAACTGCATTTAAGTTTTGTCTTTAATATTGTTGATAATTATGATCAAACTTTTTAATGAAGTTTATGCTTAGATTTGTGTCTATCAACTCAAATATTGCCCCTTCATCTCATGGTTTTGCAAATTAACATAAAAGAGTACTCATTGTTTCGCTTCCAACATTAATTGTGAGAAAATTGAAACGGCATGAAAATGCGATTATTGTTGAAACTAACTCAATGGTTAATTTTGAGAAGGAAATTTTGAGATTCCATTTGTTTAGTTTAAATTTTAAATTTCTTATTTTAAGATAAAAAAAATTGTAAGATTAAAAAACTAAAGAATTCTTTTATGAAACACATTAAAAAACTAAATAATCTTAAAAAATTACGCTATTCCTTTTAAATACGTTAATGTTTTCATCTCCCTAATGTCCATTACAAATTCATAAATTCAAGCCTCTTCTGTTTGTTTCTTTAATGTCTGCTCCGCATTCCTTTGACCACCCTGTCCTACTAGTCAGGATATGGATAGATAGCACTGCAAACAAGATTCTCCGATGGACTATTATGTAACTTTCGTCCTGTTTTTATGTTTTATATGCTTTGTTCTGTGTAAATAATTTGTTTTGTTCAAGACAGTCATGCTGCCCATTCTTGTGTAAATTAATATTATTTGCCTGAAATTTGATGGTAAAGTGCATGGCAACATTTGTCCCAAGTCATTCAATTGTAATAAAATATCATTTCAAATTAAACTTGAAACCAATTTCGATAGTTTGAACCTTACTGAAAACTTGGAAATTTCTCTAATAGAATTTTATTGCAGAAAAATGGTCCACTGCATATATTAACAGAGACATGAATGTAGGGTTCAACTTGCTCTTTTTGTCAAAGCGCAATTCTCCCTTCATGTGAGAAACATATATGATCCGCTATTGCAAATTCTAATAACATCATTTCTTATCTACTAAATATGGCTCTAATCTACTTTCTCATCAAGATGTATGTTTCTTTCTTAAATGCAACATATAATTTCGATTAACGATACATAATTTTATACACTATGGGAGTACACATAATTTTGCCATATGTCATGCTATGACCAAAATAATAACAACAAAAGTTATTAATAGGAATTCTTTTATAGAAACAAATGCGTTGAACAACATTCAAGTAACAATATACTTTTTTTATATGATTTCTTCTGCTAAAATAATGTAAGACTTATAATGAAGTGCATTTAACACACATGAAGGTTTTAAAATTTGCACCGCAAGCTAGTTTAATTACCTGAATAAATAAGTTTAAATTTAACGTTAGACTCAATGATTCAAGTTCAAACTTTTTAAGTTTCAGCTCACACAAAAATACTACTAACAAAAATTATTGATTTTGTAATATATTCTCAACAAATAGTCAGGTGAATTTAATATAAATTTTAAAATTATTTAAAACATTTTTTAAGGCCATCTCAATTCCAAATCAGTTTGAAAGTAGGATCTTCCTCTTTATGAGGTCTATGAATTTTATCAAGATGAATTTAAGCAGATTTAAGAGAAAACATCCCGTCAATACTTAAAGACCAACTAATAGTATCCTCACTCACCTCAGTTTTCTGGGGATTAATAGAAGCAAATTGACAAACAATTTGAGGAGGAAAAATTCTAGAAATCAAATTCCAATTCCAATTATCTTGAATAGCAAATTGTGCCACAGGAGAATTAAGAATATGTCAAAAGACATTGTCAATTGTATGATTCGACAAAATTTTCAGACCAACTATCTAATGATCTTTTCAAAATTTAACTTTATTACCATTGCCAATGTTAGAAACCACATCATGATCAACATAGCCCCAGGCAGCCATCATCCCATGCCAAGAATAGGACGTAGATAACGTTTATTTAACTTAGGGCGATATTGATCATCATAATTGTACTTAGCCTTAGGCACCCTGCCCACAAGCTTGATTGATTAGTACAAAATCTCCACACAAGCTTCATCATATAAGCTAAATTCAGCTTTTTCATATCTCTGAAACCCAACCCTCCCTCACATTTTGGAGCACATATTTTTCCCCCCACGAGATCAAGTGGCACTTATTTTAAATTACTTGTAGAGTCCCCTATAAAGTGTAGATATCAAATGTTGAAAGAATGAGAGATTTTGCGGAGGATATGTTTTCTTATTATGCATTAGCTCTTTTAAATAGAGCTTTAGTCAAAACTGAAAGATAAATATATCCCATGCTTTTAGGCATTGTTTATCTAACAAAAAACATAATTAAACGATCCTAAAGTTTAGGTTCTAAACAATAGAAAATTAATCTTTTACAAATTGAATAAACATTCACGTAGTAGCTAGAAACTTCTTTGCGGAATGATTGCTAGAGGCTTATTGTAAGTAATTGCTTTAGATCTATGACAGACACTCCATTTGCATCCTATTGTTTTCATACTGGGATAGAGACTCCTAACTTGTAATTATGAGTTGGCCCTGCTAGCTTAGTAATGATTGTTGTATTCTTATTTTTCATTTTTCAGAAAGATGCGTGTACATGGAAGTAGTGTTTCTTATTTCTGCTTGTTAACTGCGGCTTAATAATTTTGCATGAACAGTAATGATTGGTTTTGATGGTAGACCTTCTCTACCTTTTGCAATATTGGAGCTAGTTGCCTTATAATTGAGCTGAAACATGCAAAACTGTCAAATAAGATTCTACATATGTGAGAACTATTATTCTTTAATATGATAATTTGATTGTAAATGCTATGCATGTTTTAGAAATGACAGGTGCTTACTAAGGACTTTTCATTTTATTATGCCTTCAATTGATTATTATCTCATTTGATTACCGATATTCTGGATTTGTATTTTCAAGTTTGTCTAGTTTTATAGTCAGAAATAGTAGACAATTTGTCTGCAACGTTTCTTTTTACCCCCAGTGTCGCAACATTGGGGTATAACCCTTCTTTATGTATTATCAGTGTAAGTTAGACTGAGAAAATCAATTGCGCCATGTTTAGTTGTGTGGTAATCATTAGTCCACTTGCTTAAATTTTTCTTTTGGATTATTCCTAAGGGTAATAGGTCAAGTAAATATTAAGTACATTTCATTGGAAGTCTTACAAGATGCTAGCAGATGAAATGATAGAATGCAAGTGGGTAATAGGTCAAGTAAATGTTAAGTACACTTCATTGGAAGTCTTACAAGATGCTAGCAGATGAAATGATACAAAGCAAGTTTCTCGTTTCATTAATGCTGCTCGAAGCATTAGTTTCTATATAAAAAATTCCTATTAATCATTTTTGTTGTCATTGTTTTGGTCATAGTATGACATATGGCAAAATTGTGTTTACTCTCATAGCATAGAGTTCTTTTTCGTTGACCCAAACTATATTTAACATTTAAGAAAGAAACAGATATCTGGATACTTATTAATGCTTGTTTGGTAGAAAACTTTTCTGCAAAAGCTGAGGTATTTTAATTTCTAAGGTGATAGAGTAATTATTTTCATTTAAATCAATACAGTATTGTCTACTTTATTTTCATTCATGTTTATATTAACCATTGTAATCAGTTTTGGCTTGTTTCTCTGTCTGTAGTTGTTATTTCAGGTACCAAATTTTCGTTGTAATGCTTGTCTTCAATTTATTTCTTTCTTTTAAGATTGTTTTGTTTATTTTTACTCAATTTTTGTGATATTAGACCTCTATGTTATACAATATTGATAAATTGTTTGTCATTGTGCGAAGTTAAAAGTATCATTCTACCTCTATTTTTTTAATGCAAGATTAAAGCACAGGATCAACATTTCTTTGCAGACACTTAATTTTTCAATTATTAGCTAAATAATTACTGAGTTGATCCCAAACAAAATTATTATGAAAGCTATTAATATCTCAAATTAGTAAAGAGAGTTGTAATTATGGAAACTTGCAAAGCAGAACTTTAATTTATCACTGAAAAAATTATTATTATTTTTTAACTCTAACCGTGTTACAAATATAATAAATATTTGTTAAGGATATGTTTAATTTTAAAGTAATTTTTAACATAAATGTATTATTTTTATTATTAATTGTTTAACTTGATCTTTAAAATTGTTTAAATAAAATTTAAATTATAATTTTTAATTTTATTAGTTTTAATCATTAATAATAATATAACTTCAGAAAAAAATTAACACATAAATATGACACTCTCTTAGTCACATTATCATTAATGATTAAAAGTTATTTTTTTTAAAAAAAGAAGTCCAAAATTGAAATCGAATGGTTCCTTTTTGTTTTTTTATAAATTAGATAAGAAATTGAAAAGGATAAATTTGTATTAAAATTATGTTAAAAATTATAGAAGAAGTGTATTATTATGGTTTTTTATATCTACTTTTAATTCATTAACAAGTAATCTAACATTTGCCAAAGTCAAATCAAAATTTCACAATAAAATATGTAATAACTAAATATATATTTAAGAAAGAAAGAAAATAACGTGAAGATGGCGCACGTGAGGCGTAAACGAGCAATCAGGGGGGAAAGCTAAAACCCTGTCTCTGTGGATCTCCAAAACCGACATAAACCCTTCTAAGTCCTAACGATCGAAGCGTGAGAGATCTGCTTCCCAATCTCCGACGCTATGAGAAGAGTACCCTCCATTCTCTTCAGATCCCTCGCCGCCACGCGCGGTGTTTCTGCCGCCTCATTCGCCGTCCGTAACCGTTTTATTCAGACCGGTCTATATTGCAGCTCCACCGGCGGCGCCCACGCTCACCGGCGCCGTTTCTCTTCCCTTCTCGGCCCCTTCGCCGCCGCGTCTCTCGGCATCGCTGGAGCTCTGATCTCTCAGGAAGTCCTCGCCAAGGAGCCTCCGCCGCCCGAAGTTCTCCCGCGCGACGTCGTTCTCTACCAGTACGAGGCTTGTCCTTTCTGCAACAAAGTGAAAGGTAAAAAAAACTGCAACGTGTCGAAGGTTTTGGAATTTTAGAATAGGAGTCATGTTCTGTTCGGTTCAGATGCTGAATTACTTAGTTTGTTGTGAAATTGCAATTGATGATTGTTATTTTCTTCCAATTGCGATTCCTTGTAGCCATCTCTTTAGTTTGAAATTGCGGAAAGTTAGTTTGGTTTTTGATGAATTGAAGAAAGCTAATTATATGGAAACATTGAGTGAGAATTTTAAACAGAAGCATTGAGTCATAGAAATTGACAGATGATGAAAAAACAATGATAATTTGGTAGTCCATGGACAATTTTGAATGAGGTTATATTGTATTCAACCATTTTGATATTGATTTATCTCGCGTATAATGGTGAACTTGTGCTAAGACGTTAGTGGTTATTCTGCTATACATCTCTTTTTCAAAAATAAATAAATAAATTGATTACCGTAGTGTTTTTTTTTTTTTTTTACTTGTTATGGTATTCATAAACTTAAGGAGCATTGAATACCTTTTTTAGATTGATGGTTGTGATTCCTTTAATATCTTTGAAATTAAAGTATATTTATATCTTTTTCAAATAAATTACTAACTCCACTTCTATTAATATAAAATTAACAATCATAATTGTTTCACATATAAGAGAGTATAAAATACCCTTTCATTCTACATAGCAACTTATAATTTACCTTTTATTTTTCATTCTGATTTTGCAGCATTTTTTTTCCTGGTTTCTGTTATTGAATATTGATATTTCTACTTGATTTACCAGCGTTTTTGGACTACTACGATATACCTTACAAAGTCGTGGAGGTCAACCCACTCAGTAAGAAAGAAATTAAATGGTCTGAGTATCAGAAGGTGCCAATATTGATGGTAGATGGCGAGCAGCTAAATGATTCATCAGGTTTTTACATTCTCTGACAATTGATTGAGTGAAATTTTTTCATGGACTTGTGCCCACTGAATGATCCCTGCTGTAATTTTTCAACAATGCTTGTTTCTTTGGCAGTTATAATTGACAAGCTAAGACATAAGATTCTGTCAAAGGAAAAAGAAGATTCAATCTCTGAAGATGATGAAGAAACAAAATGGCGGCGGTATGTTTCTTTCTCTTAGTCCTGTTCTATTTTCAGTCAAGCTTGTGTCTAATAAATTTAAGAGGGTGAAGTGGCAGAAATATTTTTTAACAATTTGATTCAATTAATTTTTTTTTTATTTTTAGAAGCTTCTTTTAGTGTTGCACTTCAATTTGAACTGACTTCAAAGGATATGCTGTGTGTGACTCGAAGCAAATTCCTCTGCCTTTTGTTCTTTCTTCACTTTACCTTTAGGATTGAAGAATAGGAATATGAGTGCAGTGTGCTATTGTGCTAACAGGCTCACATATCACCAGACATTTATTATGCCAAAACTCAAAAACACTATAAAGTTTGATGCTGTTAAATTTTTAGCCTTCCTTATGTGGCAATTTGATTTCAGTCGTCTTTATTATGCATAACTTGTTAGGAATCTTATGTCTATGCATGATTGTAATTCATTAAATTTCTTTATGGGTTAGATTTTGGTCAACCTTCTAATATTTCAGCTGTTTACTTTTGACTCCCTTGATTTGTAGCATTGAAAAAAAAAAATAAAAATATTCTTATAACATTTTTCACTGCAAATATTAATTAAAAAAAAGTACTCATTTTGCTCCTTCACCAATAAATATTTTTCGTTGGTCTCCCTAATTGCAATCAATGCCATTCGTTTAAGTAATAAAGGTTATGTGTAGACTGTGGACCTTAGTACCAGGCAACTTGTGACTGGGCACTTTTTTTCAGAAAGATGCTCAATTTAGCATCCATTTTTTCAAATTAAGCTTGTATAGCCTAACAATTTGACAATTGGCTTTGAGATCAAGATACTGTAATATGGGCAACCTGAGTTGCTGTCAGTAATTTGTACCTGTTATTGGTTTAGTGTGTATTTCTTCTAGGCTAATGAAATATTCTATTCTGATATAGGTGGGTTGATAATCATTTGGTGCATGTTCTGTCACCTAACATATATCGAAATACATCTGAAGCACTTGAGTCTTTTGAGTATATTACGAGCAATGGTAAGTTGGTAGTGGCCTTTGCTATAGATATTTTTTAATATCATTATTTAAACTTATTCGTGTGAATGATTTATATTCCTTTCCACTAAGTTTGCATGAAGCTGTCCTTGATAACTCAATAAGCATGGTTTTTGAAAAAGTTTATGCATGGTAGATAAGATGGACATATTGTGGAATGTTGTATGTTTTTCAACATGAAGAGGGGCATTTATGGGTAATGAACATTATTTCTACTTTTGTCATAAATTTTCTCAGTTATCTGGGGATTTTTGGGCATTATATTGAATCTTATTTCTTTTTCCTTTCACTTTTAATCATACTTGTTAATAGCGCGCTATAGCAGCGCTATCACGCTATGCTGTGCAACATGGATGTCGGCTGCCACTGGCACCACATTGCAAGGCGTTTGGCACATCACGGCAGGTGCAGGGGCAAGAATAGGGAGACGTTTGTGTTGCGACTGCGCGATTTGAGGGAAAGAAAGAAACCCTATTCTATTTTTTAATAAAACACCGTTTGGATTATTTTTAAGGGTAGAAAGGTCATTTACCCTTTATGAAACATATATGTTGATTTCATCTTCCCAACACACTCCTCTCTCTGCAAAAAGTTCGAGCCTCAGCGTCGCAGTTTCTGCTATTCTCACTGGCTGACCCATTCCATTTGCAGAGAAATCAGCTTGTCCAGAGGCTCACTTGCTCCATTTTGCCAAAGGAATCAGCTTTTCCAGTGCCTCCCCTCCAGCGTACCCTGTTTCATTGTTCACCAGAAAAATCAGACTAATTTTCACTAATCATTCTTGCTTCAACTTTATCATATGAAAGTATTTTTGTTTAATATAACACTAATGTTTTGCACTATTATATATGCATATTATAAATCTTTATATAGCAATCATCCTACTATATGCTATTCTGCTATAGCGTTTTAGAGGTCAGCCCAAATTTGATGTTATCCAGGATTAATAACTATGCTTTTAATAAATAATATTCATTATTTGGGGTAAGTCATTTTGTCCCGAGGTTTGTTCCCACAAAATTCTTCATTTAACATATGCTTTGGTGGATACCTTTTATCAGCCAAAGAAAAAAACTCAAGGTACAAGAGATATGAAGTACACAAGATACTTAACTGTGATTGTGACATGTTTCAAGATAATATTTACTACAGTACTAATGTGTGAAAGAATCAGCTTTATACAACTCCATTAATCTGTAGTTTTTGCAAGTTGATAAATGTGGCCCATGGTGGTGTAATCCTTGTGAAATGGGGTGCTTTTTGATTTTTGAAAATTTGATGGGCTTTGAAAAGGTTCAAGATGGATATAGGAAAAGGTCTAACATGTGACAACAAAAGAAACAATAGACACGTCATCTTATGATTTATAGATGATATTAGAGGACTACTACATTCAATCTGCTTTAGGTAAAAAAGAGAGTAAAATAATAGTTTCTTCTCATTCTTGCTAATACTAAAGGATACAAAGTAGATTTTCAAGCTTTATTTCTTCCAGTTTGATTCTTTCAAAAATTTCTTACGAAAAATGACTGTCATGGGTGCTGTGATCCTGTAATGAGCACACATAAAGAAAAGCACCAGCTTTATCTCATTTTCACTATACAACAATTCTTAAATAAGCAGTCGTCATTTTTTCTCTGAGAGACTAAACCTTTCCTATTTGTTGTCTTTGCTCAATCTGTATCCGTAGTAGTACATTTTCATGATTAATTAACACTGCTGAAACTTTTCTATTACCCTTTTATTCTTCCTTGTGTACATACAAAGGGAGATGCCTTGCCTTCAAATCTTTTGCACATATGCTTTATCTGCTTTCAGCCCTTGCATATCATGCTTACAAATCCTTAATTTACTTTATTTGAAGTTTGAACAACTTTATTTGAACTTTTTTATTTGAACATGCTTACTTACCGTTTTCCATTTTTTAAAATATTTTAGGCAATTTCAGCTTTATGGAAAAAATTTCAGTGAAGTATGCTGGAGCTGCAGCTATGTATTTTGTGTCTAAGAATCTGAAGAAGAAATATAACATCACTGATGAACGTGCTGCTCTTTATGAGGCAGCAGAAACATGGGTAGATGCTCTGAATGGCCGGGAGTTCCTAGGTATGTACAGTTTCTGTGTTAAGGAGACTATATTATCAATGCAAAAGCATGCATCATGTTGAGTGTGTATGTTAAACTGAATCCATAGATATCTCAAAAATGCTTTAATTTTCTTTTATGCTGGTTTTTTAGCCAAGTAAAGGAGTAACAGATAAATTATGGCTTCATATACCCTTGATTTGTCAATATATTGATCACAAAGACTCCCTGTGAAACAGTTTTGATTTTCTTTTTGATGGGATCTTACAATATTTTGACTGGACTTGTCTGATTTGACCTTTGAAAGGCTGTTTATAGTTCAGAACCTGCATGTAACATTGTAACCATTTAAAATGAGAGGTGGCCATTACTTATCAATGTGTTACTTTAGCTACAGATATGTTAGCGCTTGCTTCAGTTTACTTCATTTTTCTCGGTGAATTGCGAGGAATTATCATCTTGCATTCTTAGATGTGATAAAATGATTACTTTCTGTCTTTTCAGGAGGGTCTAGGCCCAACTTAGCCGACCTGGCCGTCTTTGGGGTTTTAAGACCCATACGCTATTTGAGGTCTGGCAAAGATATGGTGGAGCACACACGAATTGGTGAGTGGTACACAAGAATGGAGAGTGTTGTGGGAGAGCCTTCCAGGATTAAAGCCTAAAGTGGGATCTTTTGAGTCCAGACTCCAAACATGTTTTTTAATGCTTCTGTTACTCTTGGGGGTTTGCTTCCACTGGTTAGAAGGGAAAATATTTGGCTCTTTAGAACGATACTACAATGCGGTGCTAATTATACATAGTCCAACGTTTTGCCAAACAATTGATTCTTTTATAAAATGATTCATATCTGGTATAGCTGCTGTTATTGTAAAGATCAGAGAAATCTTTGAGCTGTATCAAAGAATAAGGCAACATCTGTTGTGCCAGTGATATTTAAAACTTTGGTTTTGATCAATTTAATAGTTGAAAGAACTTGATTCAGTTGAACATGAAGTTTCATTTGCCTACTGATCAATGGATGTGAACAAATGTTTAAAACTGAATCGATGTGAATTTAAGATTTGACTCTCCTAAAGTATATTTCATAACATATATTGTAAAATTATAAAGATAGATTGAAATTTTAATTAAATAAAATTTAATAATTTTATAGTTTGGTATGTGTAAATTATCTCTTTGTTTTCTTCATTTTAGAGAAGTAAAGTTCTTAATATTGAACCATTCTATAATCGAAATACTATTGTAATTGTCAAAAGCTTTAAACCTTACATCGTCTTTCAAATTGATCGTGCTTTACAGTATATTTTTTGGGTCAAAATAATGATGAATTTGGAATGACAACTATAATTTAGGAATAAATATAACTCATAAAGTTACTTACGTGCATGAAAAGATTTCCCAATTATAATTTTCTCTTAAATTTTGATATAAAACAGTAAATTTATTTATAACAGCAGCTTTAAGTTTTTATGAAATGAGCATAAGAATAACATGAGGTAGTGGTTTTGGTCGCGGCTGAAACGAAATAAGAAGAAAAATTGCTAAGAAAAATAAATGCCAACCTATTTTTCTCTTACAAAAAGTTTAATGTCAACTTGTTTTATGATGTGTTTATAATTTTTGTTTTCTTTTCTAGCATAAAAGACAGATGGCTGAGATTTGTTACTGCACGAACCATGGACACGACGAATCAAGGAAATAATTCCTTCGTTCCTTTGAAAGTCTATAGGTGTTTCTGTAATTGTAATTTTAAACTTTTCAGATTTTTTAACAATAAATAAAAGTGTAAATATACATTATATATATATATATATATATATAATTATGTCAATTTAAATTAATCAATTAATTAAATGATTCAATTGTATAAAAATGTTATTGTTAAGAGACGAGAGAAAACTAAATAACGTTGATAGAATTTATGTGATTTAATTTCTGAAATAAGGGGCAATTTTAAAACTTACTGATAATACATAATCTTATAAAGAATTCATCCTAATATCCCTTACAAAAGTTTGGTATATATAACGGTCAATATAAATATCCTTCCAATCACAATTTTTAGATCTTGCCATGGCTATTTAATAATTCACTCGAGTGAGTTTTTTCCTCAAATTTCTTGCAGATGCAATTCCATGAACTTTTCTAGGAATATGCAATGCCTAAATTGTAATGAAGATAAGCCTAAGGATATTGGTTCTACTGTTATAACGAAGGAAGGAGACTGGATCTATCCTGAGTAAGTCCCCTGGTAGTTTACCAGCTATTCTCGTAAGGCACGCTCTATTTCTGTGTATTTGTCAGCTACCTTTCCAAAAAGACTCTTATAACACTAGTAAATAATAAGTTATATGAAGTGCCTTTCTTACACGAATTTCTGTCCATATGCAATCATGCATGTCAAACTGACTAATCTAAAATGACTTGCCAGTTTTTTCTTCTATTTTTCTTATGTTGTCTGCATTTGATACTTGTGTTCAGTATACATTTCTTGGTGTCTTCTGATCTGCTGACTTTTGCTCTTTGGTTCTGCTGCAAAGCAATTTTAAAATTTTTCCAGAAACACGTGGTATCTAAAATGCAAGAGAGAGCAGCCAACAAAGATGTCAATACTATCCCGACCAAAAAATGGGACCGTGACTACACAGGTTAAATTACATATAAACATCAATTAATATGACAAATCTACTGAGAAACCAACACGAGACAATAGTCCCTTTCAATCAAGTAATATGACAAATTTGCCAAAATTTTGATAGAGTTTTCTCTATATTTTCATTATTTCAAATTATAATAATCTGTGAAGATTAATTTATAACGCAACCAAAATCAATTAAGCTCTTAACACATTTTAATATGAAGACTAGAACATCTATTACATATATAACATAAAAAGTCTAACTCTTTAACAGCAGCATAATGTTCAAAACATTAAAAAAAAAAAATGTCAATGCCACCAAAACAATGGAGACCAACCAGTAGAGATTTTATAGGGATGGACTGATGCTCCCAGTAACTTGCAACTCCACTATTTGATCATCTATAAATATTAAATAAACAGGAGATTCACATAGACTCGATGAGGACATAAAATCACACTGAACAAGGAAGGGAAACAAACATTGCACGAGTAATTCGCAGCCATAGATGTTAAAACATACCATTTTAAAATAAATTTATTTTAGCTATTCTATCAAAAGTATGAGCATGCTTAAAAGTTTACAAATTTATACTATTAAGAAAAGTATCATTTCAACCACGACTACCATAAAAAAGTACGCATATACCTTAATTAAATAATATTAATTTTATAAAACATCACAAAGTAGGTGTCAATATAATGCTACAAAAGTCACTCATGAAAAACACAAAGTCTAAGGTAGTTTTACCTTATTAATAACCTTTTTCTCCCAAGGGCTACTTCTTCCTTAAGGGTAACTCCATCTAACCAGTAGTTCTACCTAGATGAGCTAATAAAAAAATCTTCAAAAACCTGTTGTGCATCCTTGTCTTCTGCCTTTGCATAGTCCTGGAAAACCTAGGTGATGACCCCAATGTTGCGACACTCGAGGCTGAAAGAAATGTTGCAAACAGATAATGCTTATGTTTTAAATTTAAACTATTTACCTTTCTCAAAAGGAAATCATAAGAAATAAAAAGAAAAATAAAAGTTATATTCATATTTCCGATACAATCAGGGGTAATAGAGTCAACTACAAGAGATACAGCATTCAAACTAATCATGTTAGGTTCATCAAGATTAGTTATATGAAGCATTAACAATTTAGCAGTGATTGAACAATTCTTCAAAGTAGATACAGCAGATGAACATTAAGTTGGGTAGAGGAATGATATTTATGTCAAGACTCAAATATATCAATGATTGTTATTGTAACAACCTGAGAATATATGAATAAACACATGCTTTTTTAGTCAAATAGTGAGCCCATCATAGTATGTGAAACTAACCAAAAATAAAATTCACCAGTCATTAGTAAAATTCAAAATAATGTGAAACTAGAAAGCATGGCCTCTAGCAACCATGTCAAGTAGAAGTTCCTCTGCCTTATTATCCTCATCCCTTCCAAAGAGAGCACTGATAATTATTTCAAAAGCTACAGCGTTAGGAAAGCAATTAATGTCTTCCATTTTTTACTTCAAGGCCAACGCTTCATCAAGCAAACCCTCTCTACAAAGTACACCAATCATAGCAGTGTATGAATGAACATTAAGATGATAGCCTTTAACCAAAAGATCCTTAAAAATCTTGTGGCTTTTGCAATGCATTTCTTTAAAAAGATTCATGGCTTCATTCACCTTATTAGTTTTGCATAATCCATTAATCAAGATGCGGTAGCTGTGTTCATTAGGTGTTACACCACTTCGGGTGATCGTGTTGAATACATATTTTGCATTCTTTACTTCATTAATTAAGCAATAGCGGTCCATTAAAGTACTATAAATAATAACACTAGGTTTCACTCCTTCTCCTTCTTTTATCATCACAGCCAACACATTTGGTCGATGCTTTTCAACACCATTTCACAGAACAAACCAACTGCTTCATCTAATTGACCCATAATGCAAAAGCCATGAAATTATACTACTGTTAGTGACAACTTTGGTATGGATTCCCTTGACAACCATTTCTGAAAAAAAAATCACACGCCCTCATTTAAAAATTTATCTTTGTACAGGCTAGTGATTACACTCTACATTAGGCTGAATCAATCAGTTGCCCTTCAATCTTTCTCAACAACTGGCAGGTCTTGTTTCTCCCACTTTATACAATACATTGATCTACTTCCGTAACTATCATCTGAAATCCTTGTCTTACTAATTTGTGCCGTGCTTTTTTGACATTGCCGATGAGACAGAGACCATAAGTGGAATTAAGGTCATGATATTTAGCTGATAACTATCTGAAATCCTTGTCTTACTAATTTGTGCCGTGCTTTTTTGACATTGCCGATGAGACAGAGACCATAAGTGGAATTAAGGTCATGATACTTAGCTGATAACTTGGCCAATACCGAATAAGCTAAGTTCACCTGATGCAGTTGCATAAACAATTGATGAGAATATTAAAAGTAATAAAGCTTGACTGAATTCCCTTTAATCCCAATAGTTGAAAAAAAGAAATGGCAATGTGGAAATGCTTATCCTTGACAAGGAACCCCAAAATCTTTGTAAATTCAACGATGGAAGGGGAAGGACGCATAGTGAGCATGCGATTGAACAAGGCAACAGCATCATTAACATTGTGAATAAATGGAGGCGAAGGGTGAGTGTGAAGCTTCGCAGAGTAAGAGAGAGGAAAAGGGGGAAACTTGAGAAGAGTGAGGGAGAGAACATACCTTGACTTTGCTAATGACACCTTCCGTTTGTCCCAAAATTAAAATCAAAAGTGAAAGAGTGGATTTAGACTTCACGAGGTTAAGATGGATGGATGGATGGATGAACTTTCCTGTGCTGCTGCTTTTCTTTATTGCAAGAGAGAGACTAGACAAGCTAAGAATAAATAAATAAACATAATGAGTAAAAGATTTTAAATTAATTATTATAAATATTAATGATTATTATTAATATAAAAATTCATCCTAAAATAATTGTGTTTATAAATTTCATTTAAAAGAGTTTATAAAAATAATTTATAATTTTTATTAGTATTTTTTAACTTATTTTAATAAGTTATTATAATTTATTAAAATATTTTTTAAAAAATTATTCAAATAAATTTATCATCAAATATACAGTATAAGTTTTGTATGATAAAAATTTATTAAATTAATGTTTAAGTTATTTTTTTAAACACACATAATATAATAATAAGCGAAATAAAGATCAACGGGATATTAAATAAATGTTTACATTATTAGAATGTTTATGAATTATAATTTTAATTAATTGTAATAAATTATTATTCTTTATATATAAACTTACATAATAATTAATTCATAATTATTAAAATTCTTAAAAAATAAATAAACTTAATAATTTATTAAAATATTAACAGAAATTAGTTTGAATAACAAATTTGTATGATTCAAGTTAAATTTAGAATAGAACAGATAAAAAAATTAAAAAAATTATTAAAATTTATTAAATTTAATTCTTTCAATTATTTATAGTCATAAAACTTTTAAAACAAAAAAAATATTAATTCTGTACTGTATTTAACAAAAAATTGATTGAAATAAATTATATATAATAACTCTTGATTGGTGCCAACTAGATATAAAATCTTAAAAATAAAATAAATTATTAGTTATAAATTATATTTAATAAAAATTTATTAAGATTAATTGTATATAAAACTAGAAAGTTAAAAATAAAATATTAAACAAAGCATTAATTGCCTTTTTTTATTTTAATAATTAATTTAATATCTTTGCTAAAAAATGTGTATAAAAAATTTATTAAAATTAATAAAAAATTATATTTTATATATAAAAATATAGTTTAAAAGATTAAAACGTATATTTATTAAATTATAATTCGAAGAACTTAAATTAATTTTTTTTTATATATTTTTTTCTTACATTCAAATAAGTAAATAAAGTACCAATATTAATATTTTTATAATAATTTTTATTGTATAATTTTTTAAAAATATATATATAGACAAATTCACAAATTTTTTATTTTTAATTTTAATATATATTTAATCTTTATCGTTGATATTTATTTAAAAAATATTCTCTATATTTAATATATGTATTTTTTTTTGTTATACTTCAGACCTTCCTAATTCTCATATAATGATATTAACATAAAAAGCATGTCAAGTATAAAAATTAAATTTATAATCTAACTAAAATTAATTATTATTATTATTATTATTATTATTATATTTTAGTCATAATAAATATATAACTTAAATATAAAATAATGTCATTTATTTAATTTTGGAAAACATCTTATCTCTCACAGCAGAAGAAAAAAATATTCTGAAAATGACATTCAAAATATTTGAAAAAAAGAAAAGAAAAGAAAAAAACAAGAAGTCAAAGACAGAGACACCTTTGTTGATTGGATTGTCATATACATCCAAACTTTCTAAGGAAACCACTGGTCATCTCTCTCTCATTCCAGACAGAAAAACAAAAACAGAAAAAGAATATAACAAATAAAAAAGTTACCATCTGGTTAAGGTTTCTTCCTCCTTCCAACACCACAGCCATTTCTGGTGGGCCCCACCTTTCTCCCTCTCTCTTCTCTCTCCTTCCCCACACGCACGTCCCCTGCTTTTTCTATTTCATTTCCGAATTTACAACATAATAACCAGAGATTCACATACCCATTAATTCATTTAATAATAACAAATATAAAAAATTAAATTATTTTTTATTCATGAATTTGGATTTGTTGATTATTCTACAGAAAGTATTATCTTATTATCATAAAAGGAAAGGAATGGAGGATTCACAATCAAATTCAACCCCCAAGTCTCTGATGGAAAACCTGTTAGGCCTTTTGAGGGTTCGTATCAAGCGTGGTGTCAACCTCGCCGTTCGTGATGTCCGAAGCAGTGACCCTTACGTTGTCATCAAGATGTCCAACCAGGTTCTCTTTCTCTCTTTGTTTTTCTATTTTCTTCGTAAAAATTTAATCTTATTTCTTATTTTTAATGCCCCACTTTACTTGTTATTGAATCAAGCACTTTTTCCCAATTGGGGTGTTGATTTTGTTGTTAAAAGCTGTTAATTTTATAAAGTTCGGTTCCTTTTCTTAACTTTTAATTAAGAATATCATGCTTTAATTTCCGTGTTGTGAAAGGTTCTTAGTTTGTGTCATGTTTTAATTTATGTTGAACTTGCATGGTAACATAGGGGGTGTGGCGCTTGGTAAGATTGCAGTGATTGAAGCATTTTAAATGTAAAGTTTATCTTTTTGTAGATCTTGTGTAATTGGGTGCAATCATGATTTTTTTTTTTTTTATTTTCAGAAACTAAAGACTCGTGTGATTAAGAAAGATGTGAATCCTGAGTGGAATGAAGACCTTACGCTTTCTGTTGTAAATCCTAATCACCCAGTCCAACTGGTAAGTGACTGAATTGGTTAATGTTCTTTTTTAGTTTGTGTTGTAAGATTCAGTTCAGTCAAAAGAAGGTGTTATAGAGTTTTCTTTCTTTATTGGCTCTGGGACGTGGTGAAAATAGGTGAAAAATTGATCATGTTTTCCTTGCTTCTATGCTGTAACTTAAAAATAGAAAGAGTTTTCATGGGAACAAAAGTAAGAATGAGTTCACAACCTAAACTGCAGACACAGATAGGCCTGAACTATTTTGAACTATCATCTTTAAATTAACAGTTATATACACTTCATGAATTGCTCTGTTTTGATGCAATAAATTTAATCATTTCATATGTCATACCTGGAGGAAGTAAACTTCCTTAGCCAGATATGGTCCCAATAATTTTATACTATGAAGAGTTTGCAAAATTGATTTTAGGTGATTTTGTTTTGCTTAAAAGTTTGTTTAAAAAGTGATGTTTGGAAACTTCAATCTCAAAAGCAGGTTGGTAGTAAAACTTAGTATAAAATTAATTCTAACTTAACTAACCAAACAAACTTTCCCCTTAAATTCCTGTTTGCAACCCTCAAACATTAGGTTGCTATGACAAAAATGAGTGCTCTTAATGTCATTCTTGCATCAATTTGGACTTTGATGTGTTACTTATAATCTAATTTTTCACTTTGAAATGCAAAATGAACAAAAGAAAAGTGATTTTTCTCTAATATATGGTGATGTGCTCTAATCCTTTGGGTATTTGTTTTTCTGGAGATGTTTTGACACATCAATTTTGGTTCATCATAATTAGACTTCTTATTGATTGATGATGATCATTTCTGATTGCAGACTGTGTATGACCACGACACTTTTAGCAAAGACGACAAAATGGGAGATGCAGAATTTGACATCTTGCCCTTTTTAGAAGCCTTGAAGATGAACTTAACTGGCCTTCCAAATGGTACCACAATCACTAGAGTACAACCAAGCAGGAATAACTGTCTGGCAGATGAGAGCTGCATCACTTATAGCAACGGCAAGGTTGTCCAAGATATGATCCTTAGATTGCGAAACGTGGAATGCGGCGAAGTGGAAATCCAATTGCAATGGATTGATCTTCCGGGTTCTAAAGGTTTATGATCTTATGGGATGTTTGTGTATTAACAATTACATGAATATAAACTGGCTTTTGCCTTGTACTACTACCTATGGTCGGTTTATCTAAGACTAAGACTTTGTTGGAGGAACATACTAAATTTGTATTTATATCAGGTTTATGTTGCATTAGTACAGTTGAGAAATTTCTTTTTTCATGTTTAAGAATCTATCCTTCGGTCTGTGTTTTTCTTATCATATTGCTGAACTCTTGTTTCCTTGTCTATATATTGGGATCTCGTCTGGGTCTCTAGTTTTTTGTTTTTTTTTTTGGAAAGCGAAACAATAATTGCATTATCTTTGTTAGTCATTGGATTGTAAGTTTGTTTCCCTTGAACTGTGTTGAAATGGTTTAAATTATTCTCACTATATATAAATAAATTGTACTTATTACTTTCCTAATAAAAATTGAAAGGAGTGGTTTGCTTCTTAATATAAGTTTTAATTATTTATGCCATGTCGTATTTGATTTGAAAAGGAAATGAATTAATAAATGCACAATAGCAATGTTCTATATAAAGCAATCATAAGAAGGAAATACAGGAAGCATATAAAGTGAAAGATGAGAGATTGTGATAAGAAGAAAATTCAAGGATTGTTAAAATTAGAGCTAATTAAAACAATTTTAATCATCATTATATGAACAAGATTAATTTTTCTCACATATCAAGCTTTTACTAGATAATACTCCATGTATATACGATTTCTAGTGAATGCTACTTTTGACTATCTGTGCCATTGTACAGGAAGATGAAATAAAAAATCTCTGCACCATTCCTTTCACAAATATTCAAATTTCACATTTTTTATCCCCCCCGCCAATATGGATAAAAATTTCCTCACATCAATTCTAAGAGGTGTGAGCAATCTAAGCTACACAAAAATAAATTGAAGAGGTTCAATTATCATCTAAGGACTTATAGGCAAGAAAAACATGTGAGAGCTCTTCCATTTGTGTAACATAAGCCTCTTCCTCTACTACATGTTTTTAACAAATCCAAAGACATCCAAGAATCTTTCAGAATGTCCACTGGCCTTCATGCTGATGCAGCTATTTTACTGATATTATCAGCTCCAAAAACTTAGTTTCTCACCAGCATTTCTTCACTCTACACCCATAACCAGATTTGTTGTGCCTGGCATGTGGAGAAGAAACTATGGTTTGGGTCAATGTTCAATCGTGTCATTGTGCTGAGATTGCTATAAGTTGTTGTGGTTTCTGTTTCTATCAGTATTGGTTGCAATGCCATAAACTTGGAACAACAAATTTCACTAACTACTTAAATTTTATTTTAAGAGCAATCAATGAGATCAACATTGTAGTCAGAAAATTCATAGATATCTATTGATCAAACACAAGTTGTAACATGGTTAGAGCCCTATGTGTTATTATTCAACGTGAACTAAATTGGTTAGTGAAGCTTAGATAAGATGAGTTAGCATATATTTTTCTAGAAACTATTTTAAAAAAACATTTATTTTTTAAAATTTGTCTAAAAATGCTAAGCAAAAAATTATTTTTTTAAAATAAATTAAACTAAACATGTATTTGTCATCTTTCATTAGTAAATTTAAATTATCTATAAAAATTTTATATAAAGTGATTTTAGTGGTAAAAAATTTAAAAATAAATTATTTATTACTTGAAAATATAAAAGTGTAATAAATGTTATATTTTTATAAAAAAACATTATTATATTGCTTAAACTCAATCTTTGAAAAATGAAGTTAACAAGATGGATATTATTTTAAATAAATGGTTAAGTTGTAATAAAAAAAATAAGTAAAAATCAATGTATTTATAATCACTATTTAATCCCTTTGTTAAAAGTTGTTGCTGAATAGGGATTGCCTTAAACCTCAACCAATCTTCAGTTTCATCCACCAACTCTATGATGCTTAAGTGCTGGTTCCTTTGTGAAGGCATGTAACACTCTAAATTTTGTAATATTAATTATTGTTATTTATATAAATCTAAAATACATATATATATGTATGAGTGTAAATGGATGTTGAAAATTTGCATTGAATGCGTAATGATGGTGTTTTGTGTGTAATGAGTATGAATATATATATATATACCAGAATTCTCAAAGTGGATCAAAGGAAGAAAATTAGTATAGTAAGAAAAGTAGGCAGTAACAGAACTACTACTAAATGAAAATAAAGAATGTAAAATGCAGAAAATAAAGATGTAATATTAAAACATAAGAAACTAGAACGGCGGTAGAACCAAAACAAATCTAGTGGAAGAAGAAGAGAAAAAAGTTGGACGACGGTAGTCCGAACAGAACCGGCTGAGAGGGAGAAGAGAGAAAATTAATTTGAAACAACAAATTTTTATTGAAAATCTCAAAGAGGAAAAGCTTACAAGAATTATTTTACTCAGAGCTTTTCTCTCTAAAACTCTCTTGAATGTGTAAATGAAAGGGTGCCTCACAACATAGTCGATGACTCCTTATATAAAAAATTAAAATATTGTTTCTACAGTTCTGGTTGATTATTGGAACTATTAACTACAATATAAGTCAAAGCTCTCGAATATCTATTTCGAAACAATCATCTTCATTTTGATAGATGTCATCTTGATTTTCTTGTTTGGTAGATGATTCAGCTTCCTCTTGATTTAGGAGAAGAAGAACATCCTTCAAATTTTGTTTCATTTTTTCTCTTGAATCACATCCTGACAAGAAGGTTGCTATTTTGGATTTTTGATTCATAAATTGAAATGTTGCTGGATCGGCAAATTTTAATAAATTTGGATTTTTTTTCCCCAAGTATTCAGCAACACCAGATAGTCCAGCATGATCTGCATTGAACTGGTTTCACCATTTCACAAAGGAATATCTATGAAGTAGAGAAAGAGTTTCTTCATTTTCTGTCTTGCTATATCTATACTGCCAAGAGAATACCCATGCTAGAGCAAAATCAGAAAAATATCTTTGGTCTGAAGGAATTCTTAAGTCTTGCAAAATTCTTTCTTTAAATATTGTATATCCCTCTTTTACAGGAGAAGGAAGTATATCATCAATTGGTCCGAAATAGTCCCACCATTGGAGGAACCAATTTAGAAAATCATAAGTTTGATTTCTTTTGAAATATATCAACCAAGAATGTCGATTGAGTTTATTTTGAAACCAAAAAGTTCTTGTCCAAGCATCAATATAATCCTAGTAATTATATCCTACTGGGTCAAATGGTTGAGAGAATTTTTATAAGAATTTAAATTTTTTCCAAATTTCTTTGGCATAAGGACATTAAGAATCTAAATTGTGGAGTGGGTGATAATAGAAGGATCTTTTTTATCTTTATAATGTTTGATAGAAACAGAATCTGAATCTATTAAAATAAATTCATAGAATTGCCTGCTTTTGTTCATGGCATAAGGTCTAAATTGAAATCCAGGAGGAAAAACTTTGGTGATGGCTTTGTAAGGGTTTTTATCCCAGAACGCAGGTTCCATTTGTATGATAGAAGAAAATTTTCCTTTTGCCATATAATGGTTAGTATTTGAGACTTTTTGTTTGTCTTTTTGAAGGCTAATAGTTTTCTCTGTTTTATCAAGGAGGCTGATTGTCTTTTGAGTCTGACTAAAAGACTGGATTATAGTGTTTAGGCTTGCTAAATCAATTTCCATGTCATCTTCTGAAGCAATATCTACCCAAGCTTTTTTTGTAAACTGCTCAAGTTTCCTTGTTAGATAGATAAAAGAGTGTTAATAGGAAAAATATAGTCTGTTTTAGGTTGTTTAACAATTTTAGTTTGGGTTTGTGAAGAATCAGCCTTATTGGATGAGTCTTTTTTAGGAATCGCAGATTGTTGAGTGGATGACTCTACAATCTGGATAGCTTTCTGAGTAGATGACTCTGAAGAATTTGAACAAGAGTCTACAGAGGCAGACTTTGATTTTGATTTATTAAGAGTTAGGGCTAGCCTAACTCTTCCTCTGGATGTTCTGCCACCCCTAGAGGGGGTTGTTGCCTTTTTGGGCATCTCACTTATCCTGTAAATATTCATGGGTAAGGTAATCAGGAAGAGAATTTGAAGTGCCTTTAAGATTTTTTATATCAAAACCAAAAACACTTAAAATTACTTGTTATCTTGCAAAGATTTGTTTTGAGGCAAGATTTTTAACATCCTTTTGTAAAATTTCTTTAGCAGATTTGCAGTCTACTCTAATAAGAAACTTTTGATTTAATAAATCAGATTGAAATTTTGAAACACATAAAACAATTGCTAAAACTTCTTTTTTAACAGTTGAATAATTTTGTTGTACAAAATTCCAATATTTTGAAGTATATGCAATAATGTGTTCATGGGAGTCTACTTTCTGTTTGAGAATGTCACCATAACCTATATCAGAAGCATCAGTTTCAACAATTTTAAAAGCTTGAGGAATAGGAAGATAGAAACAGTTCATATTTCTGACTCTATTCTTAATATCTTTAACAACATTGGTATGGACATCTATCCAGGAAGGAGGATTCTTTCTAAACCTATCATGTAAAGGTTTTATAATATTGTTGAGATGAGGAATAAATTCACCTACATAATTAAGACATCCTAAAAACCTCTGAAGTTGAGTTTTATCAAGGATTCTGTTAGGAAACTTATTAGCAAATTCAATTAATCTACTAATAGGAATGATAGTTCCCTGGTGGATATTGTGACAAAGAAATCTTATATTGGTTTGAAAGATATTGATTTTAGATTTGGAAACTGCAAGTCCATTTGCTTGACAATATTTATAAACACATTTATATGCTTAAAATGTTGATCAATAGAATGGGAAAAGATTAAAACATCATCAATGTAGACAATGACAAATTTAGAATAAGGATTGAAGATATCGTTCATGATTTTCTGAAATTCAGAAGGAGCATTTTTAAGCCCAAAGGGCATTACATTCCATTCATATTGCCCAAAGGGAACTGTAAAGGCAGTTTCGTATCTGTGTTCTTCATAGATTTGGATTTACCAAAATCCAGATTTCATGTCAAATTTTGAAAAAATCTTAGCAGAATTAAGTCTGTTAAGAAGATCCTTTTTGTTGGGAATAAGGTATCTAATTCATTGAAGAGCTTGGTTAAGTGATTTATAGTTTATGACTAACCTATGAGTACCTCTTTCTAATTCTGCCTGTTTATTAACATAAAAGGTAGAACAAGACTAGGGGCTTTTGCTTCTTCTAATG